GACACAATGCAAGAAGAAGCGTCCATCGCTTGACCATAAAAACTTTAGCTTAGGTTTAAGAGAGAGTAGAAAGCCCATAGGAAGACCTCCAGATCGATAGTAGAATGAGTTAGTGAAGTTCTATGGATAGAGATGGATGAAAACGGCAGAAAACAGAGCTGCATGACACAGACTTGGAGAGACCTTCGTCAAACAGTGAATCGACCGAGGTTGATGATGAGTGATGATGAAACGTGGCACTGGAACAATTACTAAGATCTACAATTTCAGTCATGCTACTATAGCAGTCATCACGATTAGTAATCGCAACGCGTTTAATTTTATATTCTCTCACACATAGGACATTTTGCCAACAGTCAACAGATAAGCAGAGCCAACGAGCCGCAACCTGCTAAACATTTGTTATATCTGAGAATTTTACACCATTCTGGCAGTATCCAAAAACAACGGCTTTCTGGCACTTTCTCACTAGCTGTTCTGCGAGTTTCAGTTTGTCAAAGCTCATCGTCATATTCGATTTTAAAATAACGCCATTTGCAGAGATGACCACTGGGGTTCTTCGCACAGGCTTCAACCCATATACATGCTTCAGATCAAATACCCGGGCTTTGGTATTTTCCCCATCCATGCATTATGCTCATTTTCGTCCAGTGAAATATCGACATCAATAATTTCATCCCTCTTGCTTTTGAGTTCCAAAATTAATAGTCTCGATGGTTGTGAGCAAACGCATGATCAGTGACACGTGGCGATCGTCATTACAAATATGATCATAATTGTAAGAGTCATGAAAGAAAGTGAAAAAAATTATAATTGAAGAGATGTCGATCTCACGCACATTTACATCATAGAAAGCACATAATTTACAAAAAGGAGACTACGGCTTGGCCCTATGAACTGTATAGCGATCGATGCCGTCTTCAATATCTTCTTCATCTTCATTTTTCACGAAGGTTCCTACTTCGGGTCGTGGAGGCAGACGCGTCAAACGGTGCAACCAACATTCCCGATCCTCTGCAGGCCTCTGAGCTGCAACAGAAGAAAACTATACTCTGGAACAGACTCCATCCATATATTTGCACAAGGTTAACTGGGCTTTCTGTTAATCGGTTTGGCAACAAATACTTGTGCAGTCCC